CGCCATACATATTTTTCTCACCTACTTTTATTGTAAGCCTCTGATAAATACACATTTTCCGCACTAATGTCCTAATTAATTAATATGATGTACCAGTTATTACTTAAAAGAATGTGAATGCGAAAAAAGGCTCGGTAGAGTCTTGGACCTTTAAATGCTTACAAGAGTTCTGACAGTTGATCTATAGATATTAAATTACCGTGGGTATTAAGAGGTCATAATTACAGCCGAAGAAACCTTTTTTAATGAAAAGCCCTAACAACCAAAGATACATAAATTATACTCGTACTTCGATCGAAGCAAATCATTAAACTTTTCGTAGTTTAGCCCCGACTACGGCGTAGCATCAGAAAAGCAAGACTAATACTAAAACAGTTTTAAACTTGGTAATGAGTTGTAATAGTTGTGAGCTGTGAATGTCATCGCGAATAGTCAAGGATGTTTATTGCAAATAAAGTGCATAAATAACTTTTGAAAGCACTCGTATATCTGAAAGTTTTTAGTTTATTTGAAATTGTTATGTTTGTTTGAAAAACTTATTCATGGCTACTATGGCCATATAAGTAGTTTATGTCAATACTAATAAACAAACTAGATGTCCTGGTGAACTTGTAGGTATCACCTACATACGCATACTGGTGTAATCTATCTCTTTCTTTCAGGACAAACGTTTCAAAACTAGAATCAGCTAAATCGGCCCAGCCGTTCTTCAGTTTTAGGGGGACTAACGAACAACAATAATTTTATGGTTGTAGAAGAGCTCACTAACTCAAATGGTATTTTATATTAACAGTCTGCAAAACCTAAATAACGAATTGATATGACTAATTTGAAAATTATAAATAACTTGAAAAAATCGAACTGCCTAAGGCGGGAATTGAACCCACGACTATCCCGAATACGATAGGTATAATTTATCTTTTTTTTAGGGAGCGAAAGCCTATTTTTGTAAAATTACTGTGTAGGCGTTAAATTGTTTTGTTATGGACATACTGCTATTCATAAATAAAAGACATTTAATAAATTGTAATCAGGGATGAAAATGGAATAAAGTGGTCGCTTAAGAGATGCTCATCAGACGTAGGCTACAATTAAGAAATCTAACTTTATACGTTGTAAATATTAAGGGTTATACGCTTTCTTATTTTAAAAAAATATGGGAAATGTGAACCATGGTCCTCGTCGACGATGGTTCATATCTGAACTAATTGTTTAGATTCGTGTTTTATAATATTAGATAACTAATAATTAACATATAGTACTTACTTAATTGCCAACTACCAAATAAATTAGCATAGATTTTTAAAAGTGTATGAGTATAAAACCGTTTTTTCCTGTTTTGTCACCTGGCAAATGCAAATAACAAGGTAAAGAGGCCATATTTCATTCAGCAAGTATAAGTAGGGATATTGGTAAAAGATTTAATCAAACTCATTCATAACTTGTTGAAGGTACTACACTAAGATGAAGGATCTTAGTAGAGCATATTCAACAACTTTCGTAAAACATAAAAGTACCTATCATATTTCCTTCCCAGTCAGCAATAAATGTCAAGCTTCTAGTAGAGGAGTGTAATCACACACGCTATAACTTCTGACATTAATATGAAAATCATACAACTAAGTTTAAATGGCATCTAAATTGTAACTGTAACAGAGCTTCAGTCGTCCCCTTAAAGAAAAATACTCATTTCTTGTTAATAAAGATGAGATGATCGTGCTCTGCATACGTGAGCACTCAAAGACTTGCAAATGCGAAGAAATAACCGCGGGTGACCGCCGCTATGAAAATTATACCAACACAAAATTGTACACTTAATTTTCTACGTGTCAGATTATGGACCTGCCGAAATGGACGCGACGAGTCTGCACACTGTATATTAAAGAACAACTCAGATTACGTTCTTGGAAGTATTGAAATTTAAACTTTTGGGGATTGATTTTAACGACTACTGTGCGAAGTAGGTATCTGCATTAATAAAATATCAATTAGCAATCTGTGCTTTCGTTAAAAACTTGAATTACTGTTTTTATAGAAAGTACAAATCAATATTTCAATTATTTTTTACTGAAACGACTCTATCATTTTAAAAACAATTATAAATAGCGTATTTACTTAAATAAATACACGTACAGCAGCTTTTCAAATTAATTAAATTCGGTTACGTAATTTAGTTAGGTCTTCATATGGGTTCAACATTTGCGAATTAAGTTACAATGTAAAGCGATTACATCGTAACGTTAGAATATTCAACAATATCACAATATCATCCAAGATAGTTGAACTAAAGAATTTATAGGCGGTAATATCACTTTACGAGTTGCTCGTATGGCGTTTAAATTGTCCCGTGCATGGCATGGTCCTCCTGTAATTAGATTGCGATCTCTCGATTATACCTCTGAATATCGATGGGTAAGAAGCGAAATTGATTTATTGGCCATCCGTGCCGTATAGATGGAGATTGGAGGCCTCGTTGCAGCGATTCGACGATACTCAAAATGATGGTAAGAATGCCGCGAGGCATTTATGTTGTTATGATAGGACCTTCGGCCTGATCGTCACTTACCGTCAGGTTGAGATACAGGCCAAGAGGTTCCTCGTTGTGGATAAAAAAATATTGCAACAAAAATTTAAAGTCTGATGTTGTGAGTCTATCGACTGTACAAATCTGAGAATAATAATTCTGCGAAAGGCAATCTGGTAATCCAGTTCCAAATTCGAGTTCTATTTTGAGTGATGGCCTGTCAAGAAAACATTATATTTTAACAATGAAAAGCACTTAGTTCTGTCAAATGACTATTATAAAGGGTACCAATGCCATCCCTGAAAAATGAGTGAAGTGGATAATTTCATTGAGAGGCGCTTGCAATACCTAAACTTCTCCCCAAGAATATAGGTACTACTGTTTTCCGAGAAGGCACTGCCTGCGAGTATAACCCGCGCTTAAATTGCTAGCCTTTCATAATAAAAGATACAAAGGAGTATGTAAGTAATGTGACATTGAGTTTGTTTCTTTTTTTTATTCCGATATTTTAACTAAAAAAAACTTTCAATTTTATCGACGAGGAAACATCTCAAATAAATGTATCTCGTCCGTTTTAAAGCGACATACTTATGCCCGTTTTCACCATCAATTCCTAATTTTTAAGTGACCCCTATGGTAACATTTAACAGGAATTTTGTTTTCATAGGGGTCACTTGAACATTAGGTATTGATGGTGAAAACGGGCATTAGTTTTGATTATAATATGTAGGCGATCCAATCGGATAATATTACTCCCGCAAAAAAATATACCTAAAATCAATATGATTTTGTTCAGGAAGTTCGGGTCGCGAATATAAATGCAAACTATTATCTTCTCCAATTTCATAAGAAAACCAAATTCACTTACAAGAACACTCAATCAATTGTCCGCTGTCCTTTGTACAATCCACTCTTTTATTTCGTAAATATAACTATTTATTATTGGTTTACGAGTATGTCTACGAGACTAGTTGAGAAGAAAATACAACTTATATATTATATTTCTAATATATTTTAATTAAAAGCAAGATTGTGGGTCAAAAGTTTAATATTTCATGCTAAAATTATGAGCTTAAGGTATAAGTTTTTTTCTATCCAACCTAGATGGTACAAATTGAAAGATCTTGTGTCCTTGCGCTACATTTTAAATAGTAAAAAAAGAAAAATGCAAACCATTTTCATTAAAAAGAAAATGCATCATTTATTTGTGTTGTCATCTGCAGCCTTCACGGGGCGATACAATTTTATCTTGTTGCGTCGCCTCTCAATAAAAAACTCTTGCACTTGGCAGATTCGTTGCGTTGGTATTCATTTTTATTTGTTTTTCAAGTTATTTAATAATGTTAAATAATATTTAAGTGGAATAGAATATACAAGACCATATCATTAAGATGAATTCATACAAAAACAGTGCCCGATAAAATACAATTGTCTACTAAAACAGTTTTTAAAAATCACTAGGTTTTGAAATAGAAAATAAGCGACGTAAAATAACATAGTGAGTACACTATGTTTTTAGGCAAAAGGCCGAGAAACGATACAGAGCGAGTGTAGGGAATTAACTATGGCTTTAAGAAAAACAAAATAATGCCTATATTAGAATGAATGTCACTACGGTAACGGTGCATTCATTAATACAAAATAACAGTTACAAAATGGTGTTCCCTTTGTTTAAGTTATTTCGAAGATTTTCTGCTTTACGGGTAAATATTATTAACGCGCGCTAAACAAAAATAAGCTCTCACAAGATAATTCATAAATTACCATTGCAGACTGTTTGCCGGCGAGCCTTCAACCACTCGCTTTTAATTTAAAACTCTTTAGTATGGTGATTTGATTACGTCGCATATCCCACTTGATGTCTTCCTCCATTCGCCTGTGCATCGTTAAAAACTTTTTAGGACTTTGTTAATTTCATGTCATTATGCTGTTTTAAATGTTTACCGAGATAGATCATTCACAGTATTTTGATATCTCTATAACCTTGGAATGGAACTATTTTAATTTATTATTTTGATACACTTCTGTATGTTACATAAATATTCCAACTACATATTAATTTAAAAAAAAAACTTATCTCGGGAATTTTTANAATTTTAATTTCGTTTTATTTTGTTACAATAAATAAAGCCTGGTTAGCTAGACATCGTATATGGGAACTTAGTTTTACCTTATTTAACCGAAGATTTTTTTCCATAAATACCTAACTACCTTTTGGGCATTTAGATTTCAGCAACTCTTAAAGCCAGAAAATGAAACATCTCTAATAGTATTCAGACTTGCACATTCGTATTAATTTCTACAAAAGTTTTTTTATTTATTATTATTGAAAACGTACCTTGAATATTTGTCAAGTTCACTACCAAAAGTTACACGTGTCTATCAGAACTTGTTGCAAGAATGGTTTGGGCGGTTATCTTGCCGCCCAAAGCGCGGAGGCGGGCGGCGTGGCCAGCGAGCGGCGTATATAAGCCGCCGTGGACACTTCTCCGGCACAGCGCGTCCCAGCCTTCGATTCGACCATCATCCCATCCAGCTGTAAAGGTTAGAAAAGTAATTAATATTTTTACATATTTTTTAAAAATAATTTTCAAACATTTTCCTAAAGTGAAGTTTTTAGTGGCCAGTGTCATTTTATTTTCACATTTATTAGCTGACTTCATTTCAACTTAAATGTTTATGGTTAACTACTCCCCACTAACTAGATTACTAGGTGCTTGGGCAGTAGGTTCAACAGGGTCCATAGAGATCGCTTAACTTTAATATTAACTTAAGTTACATTAACGTCCGTATTCACAAACGATGTTAGCGTAAGTAAAGCAGCAAATCAAACGCTAGTGTTGAATAGAGCTCTGTGATTGGTTCATGTGTCACCCTGTGCGTCCACGCGCATTGTGAGACCTCATAGTAATGTTTGTGAATAGGGCCGAAAGGATCGAATAAAAATATTCAGTGTATATTTACGCGCTTTAATAGAAACTGAAAAAATAGCTTATTATCTTGTGTATTCTATGTATTTTTGGTTTCCCTGTTGCCACAGGAAATATTATTGAGATCATTATTCAATACATCTGAAAAAAATGTTATAAAATTTCCCTTAAAACTTCTTTAGCGTATTTGAAAACTTTAGAAGGTATGTTATTTAATACCTATATAATAAACAAAAGTTATACTAAAAGTAGCAAGCACGTGTAAAATTACGTCCACGTGACATTTTAAGTTGGGCTATGAACTCTGAGTAGAATCGTTTAGACTTGCTACTGTATCAGCCCAATCATCCTTATAGAAATGGCAATCAGCGTGCGCGATATAGAAATAATTCCACAAAATTGCTTGCACGAGTATGCTAATGATTGTTGTTTGAAGACAGAAATACATTTTAGAAGATAGATGAAAGGAAAATCGTTTAAATTTAGCTTTATTCGTACTTACCAAAACTGTATTTGAAAAAAAAAGCTTATAGTATTTTTTTTTGTACCTGCGTTTCACAAATAGATTTAGAAATATCTTGGTTGTGAAATAGCATTTAACAATAAAATTCACAATGTCTGAAGTATGTAATTTAAACTAATATTTTATACGATTTAAAATTTAGAAACCTCAACGCATCATAGAGCCATTTTACCTGAAAATGTTTGCTTTTAATAATATAAATTCAGACTGTATGCGCACATATAAGTTTAAATATCAGAATTAGGGTCAAAGAACAAAGTTCTGGCACTATCAAGGTATTTCTAATGACAGCAACTCTCTAAGATAAGTTTGAGCTAGAAGTTAGGATATTATAACTCCACCCCTTGGTGCAAACAGTTTGCTCCGCAGCCTCGCGTTAGTAGCATCTTAACATTATAAATTGGGTGTCTTTAATACTATAGGACTATCCATACCGAGGTCTTTCTTCTACGTAAGTACCAGGACTAGTTTTCAATTATTACGCAATAGTTTAATACGCAGAATAATAAGCACTGGTACTCCTATAAAAGTTGCCAATAAGGTGGCTGGAATAGTTATTATATGAAAAAATCGAAAGAACGTGCTCGTTAGCGCCCATTTCTTTCAGCTGTGGACTGTAATGGTTATAGGGCAATTGCTAAGCACTCGTAATAAGCTTTCAGTTTGGTATGTAGCCTAAGTTTTCAAATGCACGCTATGTTGTACAGATCAAATCATGCGTGGAGTTGGAGGAGTGTTGGCCGTGGCCGTTGCCACTCTACTTGTGTGCTGCAGCGCAAACCCTCACCAGGTACGTATTAAAACAATATGTTACGTGGCGAAGAAGTCATGTGGTCAGACATGTGGCCTGAAAGGACACTTTTCACCGAGTCATAACTCGTTATATTGCCCTTTCAGTCTCCTAGCTGAAGTTCGACATCGGCCATACAACGCCGATGTTCTTTTGGGCTCTTTTTTTAAGTGTTTTGTATTTCATATTAAATAAAAAGGCAAATACAAATAAGTAGCATTTAGAAAAACTTTCGACTAGAAATTGATTGTACATTTCTTGCGCAGGAAATAATTATACTCCCATTCGATTCGAAATAACGGTATGAAAACCGTCTAGCTTTATCAGACAACTGCCACTGCTAGATAATTTTAAAATCCATTTCCTAATTCAAATGGGTCTACATTCCTAACAAAGGCGTTATATTGACAAAAACCAAATACTGCATTCGACGTGATTTAATTAATATAAATCTTTGTTGAAAATGTTACTTAAATCTTCCTTCATTTGATCTAAATTACTCGATGAAATTGACATTTGCGATAGAATATTAATTGAGTCTTGCCCAATTTTAGTTACCAAAAGCTTTCGGCTCTCGGCGGCAGAAAACATAATGATAACTTAAGCCCCCAATCAAACAGATAATTCTTGAATTTGTTGTTTACTCTAAATGCATAAATTTTCTGAAATGGCTCTATCTCTCATTACTCATCACTTGGTAGTTGAGAAATGGGAGGACTTTTATGTTAATATTAAACAAATAAAGCTACTTGAATAATATACAAAGCTTAGCTCACGCTCAGTACGATTCCGAAAACATTGCGTAGTCATTCATTACTTAGCTTTATCTTTTTGAGAATTTTTCAATTATTCACGTTGCTGGTTTACTCAGATACTTGGTACAGTAATCTTTAATGCCATACCTACTCATATTAGCATTCATTTTATTTCAAGGTTATAAATATATTACCATCACAGGCTCATAATTGGTGAAAATAAAAGAAGCACATTGTCGAAATACATTCTCTACATCTTTGAGTCTTATATTTTCAGTTACATGTCAATCAAATCACATTACCTTCAACTGCCAGACATGGGTCTCTCTCGACCAACATCACAAATAGCTCTTTTATTACAGTGAATCGAAAGTTAATTTTATCCTTTTTCTTTCTGACTAGGACTCTGAAGGGAACGAAGGCGAACACACTGGGGAACGTTACGACACTGGTGGTAAGTTCCATTTTGTGATTTGAGGTGTTAATTGATACTTTATAATATTTCTAGTACTTAAAGTATTTACAATGGGACTGTCATTAAGTTAGCAGATACATGGGGAATTTATCCTTTTAAGGCTCGAATTTAAAAATACCATGTCCATTTTCAATGCTTTAAGTGCAGAATAACATAAGAGCTCACGTTCTCAACTTCGTATTGTTAACACGGTTTGAATTCACCTTTTATTCGTAGCACATAATACCCTTTACACCGTTTTACTCTCTTTCAAGCACTTTTAACTAACTGTGAAAACACATAAAATCATCTTACGTGAATGGTACTCTACACATCTTTCCTTAAACGAAGCACTTTTATAATTTTATCAAATATTATTTTATTAAATATCTTTCTAATAACACAAAATATATTATTGCACTTTTTGTCAAACTACTGTACTATATCTCTATAAATATAGTGGTGGATGGGACTACGCACTTTTCCCAGAATGCATCTGCACAAAAACCTTATCTTTACTTTCCTAGTGCACCATTTTCCCTTCACCACCTTTCATCATTTTGTGGTAAGTACTTGTATTTGTACATCTGTATATATTTTAAATCTAATTTCTATTAAATTAATAAGTACCTAATACCTAACCTTTATTTAAATATTTTTCTAGAATTGAGACAGAATGAAGAGTACGAAGATTTCCTGCGATTCCTAATTAATTATCAAAATAATCGCAACCTTGATGGAATCGGTGGAAGCTCTCTTCTTGGAAGAAACCTGGGTGGCATTGGAGGCTCCTCACTGTTAGGAAGAAATATAGAATCCCAAGATAGCAATCTTCACGGCATTGGTGGTTCAACCTTTCCTGGCAGAAATGTGAACGGCATCGGGGGCTCATCTCTTCTGGGCAGAAATCTTCATGGTGTTGGAGGTTCTAGTTTAGTTGGCAGGAACCTTGCTGGCATAGGAGGCTCTGCTTTATTGGGAAGAAATACAGAGGGAGACAAAAGGTACTCTAGATTTGTTGACTCTCTCGGAGGAGGCAACTTCGTTCGCAACTTGGATTCTATTGGGGGTGGCAATTTTGTGAGGAATCTTGATTCAATCGGCGGCGGAAATTTTGTCAAGAAAAATCTGGATCACATCGGAGGACCCAACTTTGTAAAGAAGAACTTAGACTCTCTTGGAGGTGGAAACCTAGTGCGTAACCTGGACTCCATTGGTGGAGGCAACTTTGTCCGCGAACTGGATTCCATTGGAGGTGGAAATCTAGTCTAATCAATTTGATGCCGTATTATTATTTATCTTTTCCATAATTATTCCCTGAAATGTGATAGTAAATATTATTTAGTTCATTTAATTTTCGTTATCATGTCATCGAAAACTTTAAATAATGAAATAAATCTGTAGCAACCTAAAATTTGCGGTTTTATTTTCCTGCTTCAACAAAATCATACATTACAAATTGAGAAGAGTTTTCAGACCCTGGATTAGGTAAGATTATTTATGTATTTATTTAAAATGTTAAAGTTACTCTAAATAGCTCCTTTAAATATGGTTTGTGGGTGTGTAGGACAAAAGCCTCGGGCCCTGGACCACCTGGGTGGTAGCGACCTGGTGCGGAATGTACGCGACACAAGCCACATGCTGCTTCCATACCTCTTGGCTCGACAACATTATAACGGGTGAGAATAATTTAAGCTATGATTTTTACACATACAAATACTTACATCAAGCATTATATACAAGTATAAATATAATACACTCGAACATTAATTTGTGCCACTTGACTAATATGGGCATAATATGAGTGACTATTTTTAATAGAACATACTTACATGTTCCATGAGTGAGTTGAAACACCGAATAATATTTTTTATGACGCATTTTACTTATCACACCTTGAACGTGCTGAACAATAATATTACGTAGGAAGTTAAGTGAAGCTGAAGAGTTTATAGCGAATCGATCCATTTTAATGCGTAAAATATGTACAGGGAAAGCTTACCCAAACTTATAAAAATATTGTAAAAAGGATATAAAATATGTTAAAGACGAAACAATATTTTTCATAACAAATATTTATCCAGTCAAGCGTGGAACACGCTGCGAGTTTCTAGTTTTAACATGATGGTAATAAGTTGTAGGTTTTGTTTGACATTTCTCATAAGGTCATGCTTGTCTAGAACTTGTGTAATTTTGTATCTAATTTGGAAGCTTGATTGCCTACAGACCTTCGAGTAAGCGCGAACTGTTTCCAATGTCAGCAGCCAAGTACGGATATGGAGACGGATATCCCAAACGGAACTTTGATGAAATAGACCTGTGAGTATCTTTATATTGTACTAGCTGACCCGGCGAACTTCGTACCGCCTTAGCGTAGAGATTTTCTTAATATTTTTTTCCGTAAGAACCATCCTTGGACTTCCACAAACATTTAAAAAAAAGAATAATCGAAATCGGTTCAGCCGTTCACACGTGATGCCGTGACAACGCGAAACGGGTTTCATTTTTATATATATAGATTTTTCAGTAATTTATTATTGGTTTAATTAGATGAATAATTTCTGCAGTATACCAACCAAGCCTTCTCGTAGTGACCTGCAGTCCGAGCTAAAGTACGAGTAAGTATACTCGTACTTATTGAATCTAGTAATTCTTTTTACTTTATTAATAGTCGCAGTAACGGCCGTACCTATGATCTATTGTGTATATATAATTGTTAAATCAATAGATATTGTGAAAGCATAGACTAAGCAATATTACAATCATATTCAGAGTTTTGTGCTTCTGATATCAACTCAACGGATATATTTCCTCGGTCCTAAGTAAATACGATCCTAAGCTTACATTATAATAGAAAGGTAAGCTGATTATTTAGGAATTTAGTTTTGAGTATCTTTTGGTCACTGAATAAGATGACACTGAATTTCCTTCTCCTCATTCGAATTCAGACAAAGAAATACAAAACCAAAAAAAGTATAGTAGTGCGTATGGGTCCTTTTTATAAACTGCCATGAGAGTGACCATTATTTTATTTATCAAACAAAACGAGTTGTAAAATAAAGGTAAATGTTAACTAATTACGATTACTAGTACAATACAAACAATAAACCTAAGCATAATTTGACTAAGTAGGTAAAATTGATCGTATCTTCATTGAATAGTCTGCATTAATTCAAGACCAATTCCAGCCGATGTTTATCTTTCATGAATGTAAGTAAGTAAACTTAGCTAGAAACAAATAGTTTGGGGATCAATGTTACGTTTATTTCAACCTCCATTGGGAAGAAAACTTATGGCTTAATAAATAATTGCTCACTCTTGGAAGAACTGATTCTATTGACTGAAACTTTTTATTGATTAACCTACCTACTTAATTGTTTTTATTCGATTGGGCTACCCTGAAAATCTTTAAACAACTTCAAATAAATTCATAAACTTCATTTATTCTTAGTAAGTTGTCCTAAAAAAGCACTACCTCTCAGAACAATTTGAGCAAACTTAAATAGACACTAAATATAACAGACTTATGAGACTATTTCGAAATAATAAACGTGTTAAATTTATGCTTAAAAAGTTTCTAGAGAAACTCATCATTTTATCTATAAGCATGTCACAAACAGTTACATATTAATAAACTATTTTAAATAATACATTTACTTACAAAAAACTTAAAATTACCTAAAAACTAAACTTTAAAAATTGCTTATAATAAATATGTGTTATTTACAAAATAGTTACATACTTGTTATTAGATAACACATCCCTTACATTTATTTCCAAGCAGCCTTTCCAAGCAATCCTGAAATAAAAATTCGGTCCGTCAAAGAAATAATATTTATACGCTTCCCACAGGAACTGATATTACCAGAATAATAAGTAGAATCACAAGTCACAACTGGGGAATTGTCCCCTTCTATTGGTAACCGTATTTACAGAATCGGGTAAAGTTCCTAGACCTTCTATTGCAAACATATATTAAGTGAACAAATATAGGTTTACCTATATGTTTAAATATGTATTATAATTGTTACTAATAAAAAAGAAGGGATTAGACTTGTTTCGTTTGTATAATGTTCTAAACTACTATTTGTTACGACACACGAGTACGTACAAAAATACTGAAACGTTTCGGAACACTTTGACAGCAAAGCAAATATTGATATCTGCACCACCAACGCTACAACTCGTAGTCGATTTGGTTTTAGGGCTACTTGTTCAGTGATACTGTACAACGTTCAGTAACGTATTGTTCACAAAAGTCGCAGCTACGATTTTTTGGACTACGATAACTTGTAGCAGTCGTAGCTACGAAACTCATGTGTATTGGTCATTATACTCTCGGTTCTATTAAGCCCTCTACTTACCTCGCCTTTAACTTTAACAACTTGTTACAAGCAACAACCCTTGTATCGTAATATCCCATTAAATAGGATTAAACTTACTGGCCCCAACTCAAAGTAAAAACAAGCCAAAATATATATTTATGAATTAATTAATTTACTGAAATTAATCTTTGTTAGATACTCTTCATTCAAATTGTATCTACAATTTCCATTATTAATTTGTAATCCTAAAAATCTGAAATACCATAGCAATAATTGCAAAGAAAGTACCTACACGCATTCTATACATAATAATATCGGTTTACAATCTCAATTTTGGTATGTTTTTATATCTGTGTACTTCTGCCATTTCACTGCGAATAATATCCTAAGTGGATATCCCGGATTTCCTGTTATTGAGCAAGTATGGAAAACTGCTTTGCAAATAAGTCAACGTAGAGCTTACGCGCGTCGGGCGGCTCATGTGATACGTGAACGACTCGTGTTTCACGGCACCCCTGTCAACTCAAGATAAGTTTCGACAAGCATGTAATAAGATGCTATCAATGACACGATAGTATCGCTGCAGAAAAAAGATTTCATCTTTATAATACGTAACATAGCTTTTAAAGTAAATAACAAACTGTGTAACATTATTTTAAATAACGTTGTAACTCTGAAACTTAGGATGTTCTCGAGTGAAAACTTAGAATGTAAATCAATAAAGTGTTAACGAGGGCACATCAAACGTTATTGACAAGTGTAGTGTGGGCAGGCCCACTAGTTGGAACGACGATCTGGTGCAGGTCCCGGGAAGTACCTGGATGCTGGTAGCGCAAGATCGGTCGTTATGGAAATTCTTAGGGGATGCCTGTATCCAGCAGTGGACGTCATTTGGCTGAACCGAACAAGTTTTATATTTAACTATTATTATTAAACCTATTCTAATATTTTTTACTTTTCTAGATCTGGTCTGAACAACTTCGTGCAGAAGAGGAACATCGACGAGATCGACCAGACGTCGATGCCGTTCCCGTATGCAACCAAGCGCTTCTACCACCTGTACGGGCCCAACCACTCGCCTTTGTAAGAACTTATTTCATTATTAGTAATCCACTATACTTAGTTAGATAAAAAGTTCAACTTCTTAAAAAATTCTCTCGATTGCATTTGGCAAATATAGAGCCGCAACATAACTCATAATGACAAATCCACAACAATTTTGCGATTTCATCTTTCTTTCTATTAAGTATTTGATCATTGAAAAATGCTCTTGCTTTTTTTCAATTCAATAACTTAGTTCTAGCACAGTCATATTGATCTGTGTATTTAATTTGTAACCTGTAACGTGTTTATTTACATGATTTAACACGTTGAACGCCACGCGGCTCACCGGTGAGCCTCGAACAATACAATTTCCATTGTGTCTAGCGTCTCGGCGTTCAATGACTTAACTAAGTAATCTATTGACCTAATTTAATTTGTATTTGTTCCTATAGATCGAGCTTTGACAAGAAAAGGTACCGTGCCGACTACCCCATGGATGAGATCGACCTCTCGCACTTCCCCATCGGTTCCAAAAGGTCTCAGGACGCGCTGTGGCCTCTTCGTTAAACGCCCAAATTAATAATTAACATACAACAAACGACAAAGCCATTCAAAGATCTACTAATTAAGTACGTGCTACATAAACAAAGAATAAACATAACTAGTAGTACAAGTCAAGTACACAACTAGTATTCTTCATACTCTTATTACCACAGTTTTCAAACTGTATCAAATTTTCACAAATAGGTACCTAAAAATGTGTAATAAGTAGATTAGTGTTAATAGGTAAGGAGAGAGAGGTTTAGAATTGATATTTATTTTGATTTTAACATAAATGATATTATAAATATTGTAATTACGTAGATATTTGCTCGAAGTAATGTTGACGCTAGAATAAAATGTAGACTAGAAATATAGTACTAGAAATATTTTAATAAATATTAAATTAAAATAAGACGTGTACACTTTTATTTTGCTCAGTCCCTAGCTCATTTTTTATGTATAAATGCATAGAACGAGACATTAATTTTAGATTGGCTACATAGATTGAATAAACCTAATAACTTAACTTTTTACTGTTGACTTTTTTATGGAAACTTAATTGAACATCAATTAAGATCGCATTTTCGATGATAGAGGTATAACTGAAAATTAATAACATTTTTTCCTAGTTTTTCAAATAAAAAAATAATACATATTACGAGTAATTATCATTAATTATACATTCATTGAAAGGTATACTTTTAAACTTGTGTCGTTATCGTCTCTCAGACACTGCGTCGCTCCAGTTAGGTAATCTTGGTACATCAATGTAATCAGCGGTTATTTGCGACGTTAACCACAATTCAAAGCACAAGTAATGACACGCCGAAGGCTAGCTCTGCCTAATTTAACATTAAATAGATTCCTCGAAGTTTGCAATCATGGAGTAAATAGACGCCTTTTTTGTTTACTTCCATTACTTTCTCAAAATATTAAGTTCAACCTGAAAAGCCTCTGAGAAATGTTTTAAAAGGCTAAGGTACCCGACCTTAATTAAGGTTTTTGTTTACTCCGTAAGCATAATATGTAGACAAAGACAAAATTAATCTTCTTACTCTATTCTGTAGGAGCATAAAAAGGTTTGCAACGAAAAAGTAAGATCTATGGTAGAGTACATAAGAGGCAAGGAAGATGCTTTAAGATGATCTCAAGCTTCTTCAACCACTGAGTTCTTAACTCTGGTGCCAGATTACAGGCTGTGATCTCACTCGATTATTTCTAAACTATACAAGGTATCGATAAACTGGTTATTGATTCAGAAAGAGCTTCACGAGCTCTTTCAAACGGTATCAATAATAGGTTACAGAATAATCTGGATCTATCCGAAAATTTAATGTTTCAAGCTTGTGATGGCTATCTGCACGCGTTGGTGTGGTTGAAGCATTAATTATTGTTCCTAGGAACGCACACAAGTCTAGCAAAGTTTCGCACACAAACTGAAGGAAGCTTGCTCATAATCTAACTGAATGTGATTAGTATCTAAACTCTAGACATAGTACCTAACAGTATGGATTAGGAGACAATGAATGTAACGATGCAACCTAAACATGAACATGCATTTTGCCTAAATTGCTTTGTTTAAGATAAAGCTTTGAGAGAATACGATACAAATAATAGGATAGCTAACCCGAAGCTGTGGTTTACGTTTCAAAGGGAACTTATTTAGGTGTAGGCAACTATAGTAAAACACAGCGACTAAAATTTTCAAAATTTATAATGAAAATATCTAAATGTGGCAATAACAGTTAATAACGGTTAAGTATACTCTCTCGGACTCTTTGTAATTAAATGATCTATGTACTCGTATTACTGTTTGTCTCATAATCAACCAAGATAAAGAGAATTTATTTTCTAACAGAGTGTCAAACATTTTGGAAGTATAGTATCAAAAACAAGTGAAATTATTTGCACACCCCTTTCATATCTAACTTTTTATAAGAATTATGGTCTCAAATCTAATTTACTATGAACAATCGGACCCACGCAGTTTCAATTCTATGTTAACTAAGTATGTAATTTAATCCCTGAATTGCTGCCTCTACGAACCTTCACTAAGCTCATTTAATTCACATTACAATTTCATTTTATGTATAGGCAGAATTGTTTTACGTTGGTTTTACGAGTATAAACACAGTTTGGTATCGATCTTAGGTTTTATTTATTTAGCAATCTAGACATGTTCAATTTAAAAAATATATATATAGAGCTTAAAGCGATTAACAAGACTGTTTCAAAATATTTCGTTCGTTTCTTTTCGTTTCAGCCAAATGGCGTCCACTGCTGAACAAAGGCCTCCCCCAAGGTTTACCGTAATGAACGGTCCTGCGCTGTCCGCATCCAGATAATCCATCCGATTCAAAATATTATTTTACTAAAAAGTTCTTTACTAATTAACAAATAGTTCTTAATTAATGGATCAAAATGATAGAGGCGTGGCAGGCAATGCCCCAAAGCGCGGCGCTGTATTTTGAAGAGTACCTACCACAAATTGCAATATTAAGGTAAATTGCCAATATTACTCCCAGTTACAATATTATATTAATTAGCACGGGTATTAAAATCATGAACCTCTATAACAACCAATTTGAGAGCGAATCTAATGGAGCCATTTTCATTATAAGTAATTAAGTATTTTTTATCATTATGGTTCGATATTAATGTTCTAAAAACACTAATTAACAAAATTAAGAAGGAACTGAAATTAAGTGACTCTAACTTTTGTTATAGTATATTACTGATAGAGTAACCTTTGCGGCCTGTAAGGTGTAAATTATATTTTCGAAACAACCTAACAGCGTTTCAAGTGCTCTAGATATTCCCTTTGAACTTCTGAGGATGATACCAAGTATACAAAAACAACGAGTATATTGAACACAGCTTTTTTATCGAACTAGACTTTTATATTTTCATTAAAAATCTCAAAGTTCAATGAAGAATGAGACAGACCTTTGCCATTTTTATCTAGAACTTAATTTAACATCCAACCTTTATAAAAACTTTCGAAACTTTATCTAACTAGGTATGGGTACCTTTAGTATTGGGTATATAAAATGCCCATGTAACTGTAACATTTTGTGGTTTTCAGAATTCTTTCATATAGCCGTAGTCTTCTACATTATAGTTGTTGCAATTCACGAAGGTGAGTGAGCTTAACGTACACGTACGCACACAAGTAAAGCTCACTCTCCTTCGTGAGTTGCAAGAACTATACTACAATAACTGTAAACGAACCTTTACTCACACATGTGTGTTGTGTAGTTGTTACTGTCGAAAAGACGAATGGGCCGATTTATAAATCGTAGGTGCGGCGTGCGTGTGGCCGGCGGGGGCAACTCCGAAGTAATTAAACTTCGCCGTGATACCAGCCGCAATCAGCTAAACAATCTAAACTGTGACAAATAGCCACCGGTTGAATGTCAGGAGAATCGCATCCGATGAAAACACCAACCCTTCACAGCAAAAGCAGCTCTGTGATATGACATTAAATTTCATTTTTCCGCTATGAACGTTTCACGGAATGAATCGCAATATTCGCACCTAATATTTCGTGGTGACAATATTGCAGGTTATTGCTACGCTAATGAATTTCATGTTAAACCTTTGACCACTCCGACATCACACACACAGGTAGGACTAACTTTTCAATCTTTCTTTTAAGTAAGGCACGAACGCGTAATTGGGATGATGATTAGGTAATAAAATTGAAATTCTGTTTAGTCCGTCAGACAGATAATAAAGAAATATTGGACACATATTTTTTTTATTTTTTTCATAATCGAATAATTACAGTGTTATTATTGAGTTGAAATGTCGCGTGACGACACTTTTAAGTAAAAAATCTACTTACTCGTACATAGGCGTGACGTAACGCGCTATTTTAACTCGATGTAGCACTATTATTATTTAATTAAGAAAGAAAATAAAAAATACGAGTCTAATATTTTCTAATTATCTGTCTGACGGACAAATAATTGCAATTTTGTNTTATATTTAAATGCATTTAAGTCAATTAAGCCAAATTTCAAAAATTATATGGTAATTAGGCTGAGAACGCCTGATCGTGAGAATGACCGTTTTATTGATTAACCTACCTACTTAATTGTTTTTGTTCGATTGGGCTACCCTGAAAATCTTTAAACAACTTCAAATAAATTCATAAACTTCATTTATTCTTAGTAAGTTGTCCTAAAAAAGCACTACCTCTCAGAACAATTTGAGCAAACTTAAATAGACACTAAATATAACAGACTTATGAGACTATTTCGAAATAATAAACGTGTTAAATTTATGCTTTAAAAGTGAGTTAGAGAAACTCATCATTTTATCTATAAGCATGTCACAAACACTTACATATTAATAAACTATTTTAAATAATACATTTACTTACAAAAAACTTAAAATTACCTAAAAACTAAACTTTAAAAATTGCTTATAAAAAATATGTGTTATTTACAAAATACTAGTTACATACTTGTTATTAGATAACACATCCCTTACATTTATTTCCAAGCAGCCTTTCCAAGCAATCCTGAAATAAAAATTCGGTCCGTCAAAGAAATAATATTTATACGCTTCCCACAGGAACTGATATTACCAGAATAATAAGTAGAATCACAAGTCACAACTGGGGAATTGTCCCCTTCTATTGGTAACCGTATTTACAGAATCGGGTAAAGTTCCTAGACCTTCTATTGCAAACATATATTAAGTGAACAAATATAGGGTTACCTGTATGTTTAAATATGAATTATAATTGTTACTAATAAAAAAGAAGGGATTAGACTTGTTTGTATAATGTTCTAAACTACTATTTGTTACGACACACGAGTACGTACAAAAATACTGAAACGTTTCGGAACACTTTGACAGCAAAGCAAATATTGATATATGCACCACCAACGCTACAATACTCGTAGTCGATTTGGTTTTAGCGCTACTTGTTCAGTGATACTGTACAACGTTCAGTAACGTACCTATTGTTCACAAAAGTCGCAGCTACGATTTTTTGGACTACGATAACTCGTAGCAGTCGTAGCTACGAGACTCATGTATATTGGTCATTATACTCTCGGTTCTATTAAGCCCTCTACTTACCTTGCCTTTAACTTTAACAACTTGCTACAAGCAACAACCCTTGTATCGTAATATCCCATTAGGTAAACTTGTTGGCCCCAAACTCAAAGTAAAAACAAGTCAAAATATATATTTATGAATTAATTAATTAATTTACTAAAATTAATCTTTGGTAGGTGCTCTTCATTCAAATTGTATCTACAATTTCCATTCTTAGTTTGTAATCCTAAAAATCTGAAATACCATTGCAATAATTTCAAAGAAAGTACCTACGAGTACACGCATTCAATATATCGGTTTACAATCTCAATTTTGGTATGTTTTTATATTTGTGTACTTAACATATGAATAATATCCTAAGTGGATATCCCGGATTTCCTGTTATTGAGCAAGTATGGAAAACTGCTTTGCAAATAAGTCAACGTAGAGCTTACGCGCGTCGGGCGGCTCATGTGATACGTGAACGACTCGTGTTTCACGGCACCCCTGTCAACTCAAGATAAGTTTCGACAAGCATGTAATAAGATGCTATCAATGACACGATAGTATCGCTGCAGAAAAACATTTAATCTAATACGTAACATATCTTCTGAAGTTATAATATACACTGTAATATTATTTTTTACAACGTTGTTACATGTTAAACTCTGAAACTTAGAATGTTCTCGACTGAGAACTTAGAACGTAAATTAATGTACAAGTGTAGTGTGGGCAGGCCCACTAGTTGGAACGATGATCTGGTGAAGGTCGCGGGAAGTATGATCAAGGTACCTGAATGCGGGCAGCGTAGGGCCGGTTGTTATGGAAATCCTTATGGGAGGCATTTTATTTATTTATTTTTATTTATTTATTTACGAGGACATCGTAAGGGACAGCAGGGAAGCGCTGGATGCAGGCCGCTACCAATCGATCAACGTGGAAAGCATTAGGGGAGGCCTATGTTCAGCAGTGGACGTCCTATGGCTGAAATGATGATGATGATGATGATGATTTATTTATTTTATTTGTTTAACAATGTTTCAACAGCATTAAATTGTACATACCTAAATGTGCAGGAAGATATAACTTGAACATAAGCCAATTAAAGAAACACATTCTATAACTAAAACATTTTTAAATAAGTTAATTTGTCGAGCAGTGGACGTCATTTGGCTGAACTGAAACGAATAAGTTTTACTATTATTAATTGTATTATGACCTTTTCTAATAGTTTTTACTTTTCTAGATCTGGTCTGAACAACTTCGTGCAGAAGAGGAACATCGACGAGATTGACCAGACATCAATGCCGTTTCCGTACGCAACCAAGCGCTTCTACCACCTGTACGGGCCCAACCACTCGCCTTTGTAAGAACTATTACATCATTAGTAATCCACTATAGATAAAAAGTTCAACTTCTTAAAAATTAGTCGCGATTCCATTTGGCGGCTCTATTAGCCGCAATAAAATTTATTTGCGATTTGATCTTTCTTTCTCATAAATATTTGATCGTCACTTTTTTCAATTCAATAACTTAGTTCTGGCACAGTCATATTGATCTGTGTATATAATTTATAATCGAAGACGAATTGTATTTAATTTACGATCGAAGCCACGATAGCCGAACGGTGAAGGGGTCGGACTGGCCGACTCGTGATCCGGGGAACGCGGTTCGGTCCCCACCGCCGCTCGACTATTGTAGTGAGCTCACTCGTGATACAAGCTTATTTAGTTTAGTACGAGGGGCTAACGGGACTATTAGTGTATTATTTGTGTAATAACAAATTACTAATAATCTTTTTTTTTTATCTGTACCGTGTTTATTTACATTAGTTAACTAATCTATTGACCTAATTTTATTTGTATTTGTTTCTATAGATCGAGCTTTGACAAGAAGAGGTACCGTGCCGACTACCCCATGGATGAGATCGACCTCTCGCACTTCCCCATCGGTTCCAAAAGGTCTCAGGACGCGCTGTGGCCTCTTCGTTAAACGCCCAAATTAATAATTAACATACAACAAACGACAAAGCCATTCGAAGATCTACTAATTAAGTACGTGCTACATAAACAAAGAATAAACATAACTAGTAGTACAAGTCTAGTACACAACTAGTATTCTTCATAGGTACTCTTATTACCACAGTTTTCAAACTGTATCAAATTTTCACAAATAGGTACCTACCTAAAAATGTGTAATAAGTAGATTAGTGTTAATAAGGAGAGAGAGGTTTAGAATTGATATTTATTTTGATTTTAACATAAATGATATTATAAATATTGTAATTACGTAGATATTTGCTCGAAGTAATGTTGACGCTAGAATAAAATGTAAACTAGAAATATAGTACTAGAAATATTTTAATAAATATTAAATTAAAATAAGACGTGTACACTTTTATTTTGCTCAGTCCCTAACTCATTTTTTATGTATAAATGCATAGAACAAGACATTAATTTTAGATTGGCTACATAGATTGAATAAACCAAATAACTTAACTTTTTACTGTTGATTTTTTTATGGAAACTTAATTGAACATCAATTAAGATCGCATTTTCGATGATAGAGGTAACTGAAAATTAATAACATTTTTTCCTAGAGTTTTTTAAATCAACAAATAATATTACGGGTAATATATCATTAATTATACATTCATTGAAAGGTATACTTTTAAACTTGTGTCGTTATCGTCTCTCAGACACTGCGTCGCTCCAGTTAGGTAATCTTGGTACATCAATGTAATCAGCAGTTATTTGCGACGTTAACCACAATTCAAAGCACAAGTAATGACACGCCGAAGGCTAGCTCTGCCTAATTTAACATTAAATAGATTCCTCGAAGTTTGCAATCATGGAGTAAATATACGCCTTTTTTGTTTACTTCCATTACTTTCTCAAAATATTAAGTCCAACCTGAAAAGCCTCTGAAAAATGTTTTAAAAGGCTAAGGTACCCGACCTTAATTAAGGTTTTTGTTTACTCCGTAAGCATAATATGTAGACAAAGACAAAATTAATCTTCTTACTCTATTCTGTGGGAGCATAAAAAGGTTTTGCAACGAAAAAGTAAGATCTATGGTAGAGTACATAAGAGGCAAGGAAGATGTTTTAAGATGATGTCAAGCTTCTTCTTCGACTGCTGAGATCTTAACTCTGGTTCTAGAATCTATAAGCGACCATAGGCGTCTGACAAGGTTCAATAACTCAGCGTTCTCAAAGCATGGAATCGTTCATTTTTCAAACAGTCAGGTTGTTTCGAGCCCTTTTGATATATCGACCTATTTTTGTTCTGTGTCATAATATAACTTGAGGCAAAGCAATAACGATCGTCAAGCATAATGTTATTATAATAATAACCACAGGAACGGGATAGAAATGATCGCATTCGTCGAATAAGATAGAGTCTATCGATGATAAATTCCTAATCTATGTGCCAAAGATCTAACACCCGTATTCACAAACGATGCTAGCTTTTTTAGTGAAGCAGCAACGCTACGCGAAGTCGAACAGCATTTTTTTTGTTTATTTTTTTTAATAGAGCTCTGTGATTGGTTCGTGTGTGTCACTCCGCCACTCAAGTATTGTCTATGAATAGGTTTTTTGGATCCTGTGAGACCTCATAGTAATGTTTGTGAATACGGGTGTTAGTCATTGTTCGTAGGAACGCACACAAGTCTAGCGAAGTTTCGCACACAAACTAAAGGACGCTTGCTCTTAATCTAACTGAATGTGATTAGTATCTAAACTCTAGACATAGTACCTAACAGTATGGATTAGGAGACAATGAATGTAACGATGCATCCTAAACATGAACATGCATTTTGCCTAAGCATTGCTTTGTTTAAGATTAAGCTTTGAGAGAGGACGATACAAATAACAGGATAGCTAACCCAAAGCTGTGGTTTACGTTTCAAAGGGAACTTATTTAGGTAGGTAAGTACATATATGGTATAGTAATACGCATAGTAACATAGTGTCAAACATTTTGGAAGTATACTATCAAAAGCAAGTGAAATTATTTGCACACCTCTTTCATATCTAACTTTTAAGAATTATGGTCTCAAATCTAATATACTATGAACAAACGGACCCACGCAATTTTTTTCTGAAATTTTAATCTAATTTAATTCCTGAATTGCTGCCTGTACAAACTTTACTAAGATTTCAAAGTATAAATAAAAACAGTTTGGTATCGATCTTAGGTTTTATTTATTAGCAATCTAGATATTATGTACAATTTTATCATGAAAAAAAAAATAATTACAAAGAGCTTAAAGCGATTAACAAGACTGTTTCAAAATATTATTTTACTAAAAAGTTCTTAACTAATTAACATATAGTTCTTAATTAATTGATCAAAAGGATAGAGGCGTGGCAGGCAATGCTCCAAAGCGCGGCGCTGTATTTTGAAGAGTACCACAAATTGCAATTTAAGGTTAATTGCTAATATTACTCCCAGTTACAATATTATATTAATTAGCACGGGCATTAAAATCATGAACCTCTTCAACAACAAATTTGTAAAGCGTATCTAATGGAGCCATTTTCATTATAATTAAGTAGGTACTTTTTATCATTATAAGTCATGATTCGATTTTAATGTTCTAAAAACACTAATTAACAAAATTAAGTGACTCTAAATTTTGATATACTCGTACATATTACAAAATTTTCAGGGCGCAAAGATTACAGTGTAAACGATATTTTTGAATAAAAAGTAAAAACATCGCTATAATTACGTGAAAACAAACAACATAACAAGTGCAACAACGTTTCAAGTGCTAACATAGTTTTAAGGCTCACAAATATCCGGATGGATATGGATGGATACCCTTTAAACTTCTGAAAAAGATTCAAAGTAGGTAGATACAAAAACAACGAGTATTGAACACAGCTTTTTTATCGAACTAGTTACACTTAACCTTTTATATTTTCATTGAAAACCTCAAAGTTCAATGAAGAATGAGACAGACCTTTGCCGTTTTTATCAAAGAACTTAAGTTAACATCCAACCTTTATTTAAAAACTTTCAAGCTTTATCTAACTATGGGTACCTTTAATATCGGGTATTTAAAATGCCCATGTAACTAACGGTTCTCAGGATTCTTATCGTAACTGTAACATATTGTGGTTTTCAGGATTCTTTCATCATCGTAGTCTTCTACATTGCTACAATAACTGTAAACGAGCCTTTACTCACACGTGTGTGTTGTGTAGTTACTGTCGAAAAGACGAATGGGCCGATTTATAAATCGTAGGTGCGGCGTGCGTGTGGCCGGCGGGGGCAACTCCGAAGTAATTAAACTTCGCCGTGATACCAGCCGCAATCAGCTAAACAATCTAAACTGTGACAAATAGCCACCGGTTGAATGTCAGGAGAATCGCATCCGATGAAAACACCAACCCTTCACAGCAAAAGCAGCTCTGTGATATGCCATTAAATTCCATTTTTCAGCTCTGAACGTTTCACGGAATGAATCGCAATATTCGCACCTAATATTTCGTGGTGACAATATTGCAGGTTATTGCTACGCTAATGAATTTCCTGTTAAACCTTTAAGAGCGTTTACGCCGTTTGGCGCAAAAACAGTACTTTTTCNTTTCAATCTTTCTTTAAGTAAGGCACGAACGCGTAATTGGGATAATGATTAGGTAATAAAATTGAAATTCTATTTATTTATATCCGTCAGACAGATAATAAAGAAAATGAATATTGGACACATATTTTTTTCATTTTTTTCATAATCGAATAATTACAGTGTTAGAGTAGGCGCACACCGTTGATTTTTAGTTGGCCGATAGTTGTGCCCGATTTTAATTTGTATGAATCGGCCAAATCGAATCGGCGTAGTGTGCGCACTCCCATACATGCCCATACCTACTGATCAATGGCCCGACTAAACTATCGGCCGACGAAAAATAAACGGTGTGCGCCTACTCTTATATTGAGTTGAAATGTCGCGTGACGACACTTTTAAGTAAAAAATCTACTTACTTACTCGTACATGGGGTGAAAGGCGCTATTTCAACTCGATGTAGCACTGTTATTATTTAATTAAGAAAGAAAATAAAAAATGCGAGTCTAATATTTTCTAATTATCTGTCTGACGGACAAATAATTGAAATTTTGTCATCTAGCCTATTCAACGAGTAGACTCGGATAATATTTTTACCTTTCTAAAATAGATTTTGGGTGTGGGCTAACGTAGAGCAAAATCTAACTACTATTAGGGAACTAGTAAAAGACTAAGTTTACCCATTTTCACTAACAAGTGTGTAATATACGATAATAAAGAACTAAGTCCCTAACACTAATTTGGCAACGTTAGCCAATCTTCCTTTTCATGTGTGTAGTTGTAAATGAAGTGTTGTTTGAAAATAGGTCATGCAATAAATTTAACACCTCACAGTTTTAAAAGATGTAACTGTAGTTGAACTTGGAAAACTTTCAAGTTTAATATTATGATATACGCTGCATAACATACCTACATAGATAAAAGCAGTATTATTTCTTCTCATACTTTTAAAGTTAACTACTTACTAGATTATAAAACCAGCTAATTGAATCCTGCGGTAGATCAAAGCTAACCCTAATTGTATTGAATATTTTCATTCGTATTTGACACCAAATAACTATTAGTTAACTTGATGGTTGATATAACGTACTATAAAGTCTTAATAATATTACATATCGTACTATTTCCTAAACTAAAACCTAGGAAAAAAACTAGAACCTATCGCACACAGGACAGAAAATCATGAATTAAATAATCCATATTAGTTAGCTATAAAAGCTCCACCCCTCATAATGACTAGACACTCATCGAGTTAATCTTGGCTAGCCTTTGATACGCTGCAACCTATTTCAGGATCAATGTACCAGGAAATTAATCTTTTTCGTAATCAAGTAGAATTCATTGGAAGAAAATACTCGACAACCATAAAAGGCTATTTCTCATCGCCACGGTTCTCATCGTCACCTTCGTGGCGAATTTTATTTCTAACTTAT